ACATGTCAAATGGTAAGGATGAATGTGATGCAACGCTTCCAATTTTTAGAGAATTGACTCCCGAGAAATACCCGTGTGGAAATGTATATATTAATGTAGTGTAAATACCCCGAACTCAGTGTATGTTATTAAATTCGCACTGATATGCAATAGGAACGTAACTAGGATTTTTTTTCTGGGGGGGGGGGGATCTTTAGTGGAAACTGGGTAAGGCTCCTAGATATTTCACCTGTCATGTGTACTGACTGTCATGTGTTAAATAACGTGGAACCTTCACTGACCTACGCAATATTTCCTGTCCAGTCGTTTCCATTCATACGATACGATCAGGATCTAGTATGCGGCAAAAGTGGGCGTGGCTAGGTGTTGTTCCTCAAGGTCAAATGAAACCACGCCTACGTCTCTCGAAGTATATAAGCTATACGAATGAGAGTGCTTTTCAATTCAAGCAAAATCAGCAAACATGTTTCTTACGGTGAGAAGGAAAAAAAAGCGTTTTTGTAATACAAATCATAGGCCATTTCATCTTGTTATCACAGTACAAAAAGACTTTGTTAACTATTTACTAATTTTTTTTCTGGTGTTCCAGTTGAGCGTCGTGTTGGGTCTGGCAGCTGCCTCTCTGGCCGCTCCATCACAGCCTCCCTACGGATACTCTCCTCCTCCCTCTTACCAGGTAACTTACTTGGAAATATTCTCTTTGTATGTTGAAGACCATTTTTGTGACTTGAACTAATTTTCATTATTATTTATGTACTTATCTTCACCCGATACTCTTCTGATTTTAATTTACATGGTTCTTTCCATGTCAATCTCCAGCTTAGTACAACTTAGCTATCCTTTTCACTCTTAATATTTACTGACTTTAGTGTAACTTGTCTTTGCATATTAGTCTCCAGCTCAGTACAACTTCGACTGGGTCGTGAAAGACGACTACTCCGCCAATGACTACGGTCACCAGGAGTCCCGCGACGGATACAACACACAGGGATTCTACTACGTGCAGCTTCCCGACGGACGCCTGCAGAAGGTCACCTATCACGTGGACGGCGACTCAGGCTACGTGGCTGAGGTCACCTACGAAGGACATGCTCAATACCAAGCCCACCAACCTTCCTACCATCCTACACCTGCATACCAGCCTACCCCTTCATACCACACCACCCCTTCCTACCATCCTACACCTTCGTACAGACCAACCCCTTCTTATAGGCCAAGACCTCATCACTGAAAAACTAATTTGTAAACCATATAAAGCATATTCACATCCACCATTTTTGTAACTGCTTATTATAGAATAAATATATTTAAATACATACATTTATACTTGAAGATAACTCCTCACATAAACGTAGTGTAGAAAAAATAGAGAAAAATCATATACTTGAAAGGCATATATATTTATGCATATATGTGTGAATGCATTTCAATTATAAGTCAATGTGATTACAGAATACCAAAACAATATACAAATATAAATCTAGGAAATTTTGTTCCGGAAGATTTTTTAAAAAGTAGTTATTTACTCATCTATACAACACAGGCAACTAATTTTAAGTAAATAACGGCTTAATTGAAACGGTAATTTGAAGTCTTTGCTCTAATGGCTTGACTTGAGTCCTTTTTTGTTTATTCTGTTGCTATTCTTTCTTCATATTCCATTTATTGTTTCACTTAATTTGATTCTGTATATTTATTTTCTTCATTTTTGTTTATTTATCAATTTTCATGTTTTTTTTTACGTATTTTTGGAACTTCTATCTGCTGAGAACTAAAAGGGCGGAAACTCGTCATTGTTTTTTTATTTGAAAAATTGGATTATCATTTTTATCATCACGATTATCATAATTATTGTCATTATGTCGTTATTATCATTACAGTTATTATTATCATTATCATTATAATTTTATTATCATTTTTTTATTATTATCATCATTAGTAGTCTTTGTTATAATTATTATCATTACCATTGTTATATCTATATAATCATCATCCTTATCATCGTTATATCAATGTAATTATTATCTTTATCCTTATCAGTATCATTATCACCATTAATTATGATCATCATCATTATTACTATCAACAGTATCATCTTTATCATTGCTATCATTAGCATCATTATCATTAACTAATACTCCCTGCTTCTTAATTGTATTTTCTCTCTCTTCCACAAGATATTACACATTATCAAATATCATTGATCATGTTTAAAGCAAAACGTGGACTAAAATATACGGTTTAATAGACAAACCAGATAATCGAATCAATATTTTAAAAAAATAATAAGAAAATAATATTAACAAATTAACATAAACATGAAATCTGAAACGATTAAGGTAAACAATAAATGGAATTTAATGGAAATATATTATAATTAGAGTAAACAATAAACGGAATTGTAGTACAAAGAAGGTATAAATGAAATGGAATTATATTTCAGCTAAAATAAACAATAAATGGAATTAAATGACATTAAATTATATCACAATTAAAGTAAACAACAAATGGAATTAAATGAAAAATCCCAATGAAGGTAAACAATAAATGAAATTGAATTCCAGTGAAGGTAAACAATAAACGGAATTAAACGTAGAGATAAACAAGTTAAACTTAATCCAATCAACAAATCAAAATCATAATCATAATATCAAATAATTTATTCCTTTATTTTAATTAAAGTCCATAATTAATTAATAATTAATAATTCATAATAATAAATAAATTACAATAATCAATACTTTATAATAATTCATAATATATTTACTAATCAAATTAAAACCCAGAATTAAAGTAAATAAAATTTACAAAATCGCCATCTTTCGGCGAACCAAACAACAAATAAATAAGTGAATAAATAAATAAAAAAACAGACATGGAAAGTAAATAGATAAAGAGATAAATAAATTAATAAACCGATAGATAAATAGATTGATAGGTAGATAAATTAATAAACCGATAGATAAATAAATAGATAGATAAATAAATAGATAAATAAATAGACATAAATAAGAAGTTAGAGAAACAGATAAGTAAATGAATAAATAGGTTAATAAATAGATATATAAAAAAGTGAATAAATAAACAGACCTGTAAGGAAGATAGCTAAATAGATAGATAGACAGAGAAATAAATAGAATGAGAGATAGATAGAGACATAAATTAATTAATTAATAAAAATGCAGTTAAATAAATCGATCAATAGATAGAAATAAATAGATTGATAGAAAAATAGATAGACACAAAAATATGTAGACATATAGATAGATAGATAAGTATGCAATTCAATAAATAGATAAATAGATAAATAAGTATGCAATTCAATAGATAGATAAATAGATAAATAAGTATGCAATTCAATAGATAGATAAATAGATAAATAAGTATGCAATTCAATAGATAGATAAATAGATAAATAAGTATGCAATTCAATAAATAGATAAATAAGTATGCAATTCAATAAATAGATAAATAAGTATGCAATTCAATAAATAGATAAATAAGTATGCAATTCAATAAATAGATAAATAGATAAGTAAACAGATAAATAGATAAATGATAGATAAATAGGCAAATATTTCAAGATTGTCGTTACGGGCTTGAGTTCATTTCTCATCTATGTGTTTTATAGTCGTTAGTTTAATGATTATTTTGTTTTTTCAAAAGGATTATAAAGTCAGTTTCCGGATGACTTTCACAAAGTCGCATGGCAGATTTTTTTTTTGTTGGGTTTGTAAATGATATATGTTCTGGTTTAAGAATCTTTATTGTTCTTTCGTTTGATATAAAACTTCAGGAAGACCCCACCCGTCCACTGTGTTTTGAAAATTTGGTAATATGATGGAGTTTGAACTAGGAAAAAATCATTGCATGTTGGCCACGGGTTCTGATGGCTCAGTTCTCTTCGTCTCTCTCTGTTTCTCTCTCGTTTCCTCTTTCTTATCTCTGTTTATCTGTGTATCTTTATATTTTTCTCTGGATCCCTTCCTCTTTTGGATATATTAATAGATAGACAGTTAGACATGGAAATAGGCGGATAGGTAGAGATAAGTACATTTCACTTTCCTGTCTCTACTGGTTACATCGGTTTTCATTAACAATAACAATATACGAAACCGATGGTTATGAATGGAGTCGGTAATTTATAGGTATATGTCTAATTGCAAAATATGTAGAATGTCAGTGGAGAGTAGGCATCCTGCAGATGGGTTTGGAGGTGCACTCTCATCATCATCATCATTAGGGGGCATATGCATGGCTGCGCTTTGTCGCGCCCCACTTTTGCCTCCACCTCCTGGGGTCCCTCCTAGCAAGCCTCCATGCAGCATTCCTTCCCACTCCCAGTACATCTTGGCAGATCTGATCGACTTGCTTCAGCCAAGAGTTCCGTGGCCTTCCCCTTGGTCTTCTCCAGCCTGGGTCAACCCTCTCGGAGATGACCCTATGCGCCGGATCATCCTCAGGAAAACGAGCCACATGCCCATAGAGCTGAAGTTGGCGCTCTCGTATCAGACTGGCAATAGGTCTTGAATCAGTCTCATGGAGTATCCTCTGATTGGACACATGGTCCCTCCAGGTATACCCCATGATTCTGCGAAGACACTTAGTACCAAAGGAGTCAAGATGGGCCTTCAGAGCACTGTCGTACATGAGGATATTGCGTGTTAGTTATACATACATATATATACGTGTGCCTTATAAGGAGTTTCAAAAATAGTGTTTTTTTTTTTTGTTTTGTTTTTTTGAGTGAATTATTTATACATAAGGTTCTCAATGGTGGGGTCTCGGGCTGTAAGAAGGTGTTGGCCTGTAGGCAGGTGTAGGGTGGTAAGAAGGGGTGGAGTGGTATGCAGGTGTAGGGTTCTTTTCTCTGTCTTGCATCTTTTGACGTTATTTCCTCGTTAATCATTGTAAAGGATCATACATACATATAATTTTTCAAGTATTTTTGTCCTTTTTAAGTTATATACTGAATAAATGTGAGGAGTTAAAATTAAATGTGTCAATATATATTTATTTTAAGAGATACAAAAGATAGTAAATAGGAATATGCTTTATATGTTTTACAAATTAGCTATTCAGTGATGAGGTCTTGGCCTGTAAGAAGGAGTAGGTCTATAGGAAGGTGTAGGATGGTAGGAAGGGGTGGTGTGGTATGAAGGGGTAGGCTGGTATGCAGGTGTAGGATGGTAGGAAGGTTGGTGGGCTTGGTATTGAGCATGTCCCTCGTAGCTGACCTCGGCCACGTAGCCTGAGTCGCCGTCCACGTGGTAGGTGACCTTCTGCAGGCGACCGTCGGGAAGCTGCACGTAGTAGGATCCCTGTGTGTTGTATCCGTCGCGGGACTCCTGGTGGCCGTAGTCGTTGGCGGAGTAGTCGTCCTTCACGACCCAGTCGAAGTTGTACTGAGCTGGAGTCTGATGTGGAAGGGCAATGTACACTAAAGTCATCATATCATTGGGAGAAAATAATTGCATCAATAATAAAAGAAAGGTTTCAAAATCACAAAGAAAATTTATTTTCAAGAGCAAAGGAAAGGATGCTCGAAAATATATATATATATATGTATATGGCAATTACCTGGTAAGAGGGAGGAGGAGAGTATCCGTAGGGAGGCTGTGACGGAGCGGCCAGAGAGGCAGCTGCCAGACCCAACACGACGCTCAACTGGAACACCATAAAGAAATGCTCATTCTTTTACTGTGATGACAAGATGAAGTGGTCATTGTCTTGCATTACAAAAAAACTCTTTTCACTCACCGTAAGAAACATGTTTGCTGATTTTGCTTGATATGAAAAGCACTCTCAATCGTGTGTCTTATATACTTCGAGAAATGTGGGCGTGACTTCCATTGACCTTGTGGAGCAACACTTAGCCACGCCCAATTTTGTCGCTTACTAAACTCTATGGCTGGAAACACTTGGAGATAAAATACTGTTTATGTCAGTGACGGATCCAATATTTTTAGCATTCAGATTCAGGCCTTTTAAAACAAAGTACTTTTATGATTAACTCAGTGCACTTCATGAACCATTTCCCACCATAGATTCCCCTCCTCCCTATACTAAAATCCTGATTACACCCCTGTTGCAACTTGCCAAAGTGAATTTAATAAAGTACATCGGGTTCGTGACATTTACATCATATTGATATTCCCCTTTTATACGGGTATTTATCGAGAGCCCATTCTCTAAAAGCTGGAAGCGTCACATCACAATCACATATGCAGTGTATATATATGAGTGAATATATAACCATTCATATATATGCACATACATACATATACACACACATGTTTGCCTGTATGTGTGAGATGTAATGAAGTATTTGTAAGCAATGCTGGCATTACAGTATTTTGTTCAAGAGTACGGTACGAAATTAATGTATGGTATTTTCCTCAAAGTACGGTACAGTACAGTTGAGAAAAAGTAAAATGCATTATCGTGACGTGTCTTACTGTTCAATTATTGGTGCTTTTGTGATTATAGCGACTGCATTAGTAGATCACGGAGATAATGAACAGTTCATTTAGTATTATACTGCTTATATGTACATATATAGTATTCATTCGTGTCTGTGTGGGTGCATGTGTATTCATATATATGTATATGGCAATTACCTGGTAAGAGGGAGGAGGAGAGTATCCGTAGGGAGGCTGTGACGGAGCGGCCAGAGAGGCAGCTGCCAGACCCAACACGACGCTCAACTGGAACACCATAAAGAAATGCTCATTCTTTTACTGTGATGACAAGATGAAGTGGTCATTGTCTTGCATTACAAAAAAACTCTTTTCACTCACCGTAAGAAACATGTTTGCTGATTTTGCTTGATATGAAAAGCACTCTCAATCGTGTGTCTTATATACTTCGAGAAATGTGGGCGTGACTTCCATTGACCTTGTGGAGCAACACTTAGCCACGCCCAATTTTGTCGCTTACTAAACTCTATGGCTGGAAACACTTGGAGATAAAATACTGTTTATGTCAGTGACGGATCCAATATTTTTAGCATTCAGATTCAGGCCTTTTAAAACAAAGTACTTTTATGATTAACTCAGTGCACTTCATGAACCATTTCCCACCATAGATTCCCCTCCTCCCCTATACTAAAATCCTGATTACACCCCTGTTGCAACTTGCCAAAGTGAATTTAATAAAGTACATCGGGTTCGTGACATTTACATCATATTGATATTCCCCTTTTATACGGGTATTTATCGAGAGCCCATTCTCTAAAAGCTGGAAGCGTCACATCACAATCACATATGCAGTGTATATATATGAGTGAATATATAACCATTCATATATATGCACATACATACATATACACACACATGTTTGCCTGTATGTGTGAGATGTAATGAAGTATTTGTAAGCAATGCTGGCATTACAGTATTTTGTTCAAGAGTACGGTACGAAATTAATGTATGGTATTTTCCTCAAAGTACGGTACAGTACAGTTGAGAAAAAGTAAAATGCATTATCGTGACGTGTCTTACTGTTCAATTATTGGTGCTTTTGTGATTATAGCGACTGCATTAGTAGATCACGGAGATAATGAACAGTTCATTTAGTATTATACTGCTTATATGTACATATATAGTATTCATTCGTGTCTGTGTGGGTGCATGTGTATTCATATATATGTATATGGACAGTATATATATTAATATTATACACATTTATATGTAATTATATGTGTGGATGTTCATTATGCGCAAACGTTGTCCCGCCCGCTTACTGCAACCGGTGCCCCTTCCCATGACCGGCTCTCTGAAGTAAATCCGCTTACCCGGACACCAGCTGGCCTCTGCGAAGGAGATGAACGCATCGCTACGATCGCAGCATGAAGAGCAATGTTTCTGTGCTCGTTTGTTTTCTTCGTAATCCACTCTTGATTTGGCTATAAGTTTACTGTGTCCCTTAACCGATCTTTGACAGTAATTTCGCAAACTTCATTTCTTTCTTTTGTCTTTGTAAATGATCATGCGTACACACATATTTTTCAATTATTTATCTTTAATAATATGCTGTATTTATGTAAGGAGTTATTCTGAAGTAAACTGTATATATCAATATATATTTATTCTATGATAGGCAGTTACAAAAATAGTAAATATGAATATGCTTTTTCTGTTTTACGAATTAGCTTTTCAGTGATGAGGTCTTGGCCTGTAAGAAGGAGTAGGTCTGTACGAAGGTGTAGGATGGTAGGAAGGGGTGGTGTGGTATGAAGGGGTAGGCTGGTATGCAGGTGTAGGATGGTAGGAAGGTTGGTGGGCTTGGTAGTGAGCATGTCCCTCGTAGCTGACCTCAGCCACGTACCCTGAGTCGCCGTCCACGTAGTAGGTGACCTTCTGCAGGCGACCGTCGGGAAGCTGCACGTAGTAGGATCCCTGTGTGTTGTATCCGTCGCGGGACTACTGGTGGCCGTAGTCGTTGGCGGAGTAGTCGTCCTTCACGACCCAGTCGAAGTTGTACTGAGCTGGAGACTGATATAGTAAAACAACATAAATTAAAAATCATTGGACGAAGATAACTAAATTAATAATCATAATTCAAAAGTGATTTAAAAAAAATGGTATTCAAGAGCAAAGTAAAACGATGCTCAAAATATATATAAAATATATCTATGCCAGTTACATGGTAAGTGGGAGGAGGAGAGTATCCGTAGGAAGGCTGTGACGGAGCGGCCAAAGAGGCAGCTGCCAGACCCAACACGACGCTCAACTGGAACGACAGAAAAAAAGATATTCATAGTTAACAAAGTCTTTTTGCTCTGTGATAACATGAAGTGGCCAACGATCTGTATTGGCAAAACGCTTTTTGTTTTGATTTTTTTCTCACCGTAAGAAACATGTTTGCTGACTTTGCTTGATTTGAAAAGCACTCTTTTTCATGTGTCTTATATACTTCGAAAAACATGGGCGTGGCTTCATTTGACCTTGAGGAGCAAAACCTATCCACGCCCACTTTTGCCGCTTACTAGATCCTAATCGTATGAATGAAAAAGCTTGGAGAGAAAATACTGTGTAGCTTAGTGACGGTTCCGGGGTGTTTAACCGCAATTTTTCGAATTTCGAAGGAGGTACTTTTCGAACATTTTAAAGCAAAGTGTGATACTTTTATGATGATTAATTCAATACACATGGCAGTTGAAATATCCAGGAGTCTTACTCTTTTTCAATCACAGATCCCCCCCCCCTTCTAAATTCACTAAATCCTTATTACACATCGGTACGAATCTGATAACACTGAGTTCGGGGTATTTACATGTCAATATATACATTTCCACACGGGTATTTCTCGGGAGTCAATTACCTAAAAGCTGGAAGCGTCGCATCACATTCATCTTTACCGTTTGGCATGTGTTGCCGGTGTTATGTGACTACAGACATAACACATAACTCATGATTATGTGTGATGGCATGCACACTATGTAGTATGTGTATATGAGTGAATATATAGTAAGTACATGTGTGTATACATACAATACATTTATATAATATATATATACAGTACACGCATTCCTGTTAATTGAAATGCAAGAAAATATATGATATAAACTGAAGTATTTGCAAAAGTGATGGTATTACGGTTCGGTACGGAGTAAGTTACGGTTGATATTTAGTCGAAGAGTACGGTACGGAGTCATCGTACGATATTTCCCTCAGGGTACGGTACAATACAACACAGATATGGAAAATGATCAAAATTCCGTTCTATGTTGCATCTTAGGCTAAAGAATACGACTATATTATATATATGTGTGTCTATAATGGCGTATGTGCATATATATATATTTGCATGAGTTGACTATGGCACGACAAAGGACGTGTGCTGCAACACAGAAATCTAACTCCACGCCTGCACATTCCCAAGTATCCTCCCTTGCACCAAAGTTGACCCGCCCGTGTACTGCAACCGGTCCCAATCCCCATGACTGACCCATGCAGACAGATCCAGCATACCCCGTGGCTATGTGTGCAGCATGGAAGGATTCTTCACTCGCGAGTGGAATTCGCAGAGATCGCAGCATGAAAAACACTGTTTCGTGCTCATCCGTTTTTTCCGTAATTCACTCTTGATTTAGTCATTAGTTCACTGTATCACTTAACCGTTTTTTAAAGTGGTTCCGGAAACACGATTCTTCCTTTTTCATTTCCGAACGTTATATCTTCGTTAGTATTTGTAAGGGATCATACATACATACGTTTTTCAAGCATTAAAAAAGTAATATACTGTATCTCTGTGAGGAGTTATTTTGAATTAAAACTGTATGTATCAATATATATTTATTCTATGATATGCAGTTACCAAAATAGTAAATATGGATATGAGCTCTGTTTACAAATTAGCATTTCAGTGATGAGGTCTCGGTCTGTAAGATGGAGTAGGTCTGTACGAAGGTGTAGGATGGTAGGAAGGGGTGGTGTGGTATGAAGGGGCAGGCTGGTATGCAGGTGTAGGATGGTAGGAAGGTTGGTGGGCTTGGTAGTGAGCATGTCCCTCGTAGCTGACCTCGGCCACGTAGCCTGAGTCGCCGTCCACGTGGTAGGTGACCTTCTGCAGGCGACCGTCGGGAAGCTGCACGTAGTAGGATCCCTGTGTGTTGTATCCGTCGCGGGACTCCTGGTGGCCGTAGTCGTTGGCGGAGTAGTCGTCCTTCACGACCCAGTCGAAGTTGTACTGAGCTGGAGACTGATATAGTAAAACAACATAAATTAAAAATCATTGGACGAAGATAACTAAATTAATAATCATAATTCAAAAGTGATTTAAAAAAAATGGTATTCAAGAGCAAAGTAAAACGATGCTCAAAATATATATAAAATATATCTATGCCAGTTACATGGTAAGTGGGAGGAGGAGAGTATCCGTAGGAAGGCTGTGACGGAGCGGCCAAAGAGGCAGCTGCCAGACCCAACACGACGCTCAACTGGAACGACAGAAAAAAAGATATTCATAGTTAACAAAGTCTTTTTGCTCTGTGATAACATGAAGTGGCCAACGATCTGTATTGGCAAAACGCTTTTTGTTTTGATTTTTTTCTCACCGTAAGAAACATGTTTGCTGACTTTGCTTGATTTGAAAAGCACTCTTTTTCATGTGTCTTATATACTTCGAAAAACGTGGGCGTGGCTTCATTTGACCTTGAGGAGCAAAACCTATCCACGCCCACTTTTGCCGCTTACTAGATCCTAATCGTATGAACGAAAAAGCTTGGAGAGAAAATACTGTGTAGCTTAGTGACGGTTCCGGGGTGTTTAACCGCAATTTTTCGAATTTCGAAGGAGGTACTTTTCGTACATTTTAAAGCAAAGCGTGATACTTTTATGATGATTAATTCAATACACATGGCAGTTGAAATATCCAGGAGTCTTACTCTTTTTCAATCACAGATCCCCCCTCCCCCATTAAATTCACTAAATCCTTATTACACATCGGTACGAATCTGATAACACTGAGTTCAGGGTATTTACATGTCAGTATATACATTTCCACACGGGTATTTCTCGGGAGTCAATTACCTAAAAGCTGGAAGCGTCGCATCACATTCATCTTTACCGTTTGGCATGTGTTGCCGGTGTTATGTGACTACAGACATAACACATAACTCATGATTATGTGTGATGGCATGCACACTATGTAGTATGTGTATATGAGTGAATATATAGTAAGTATATGTGTGTATACATACAATACGTTTATATAATATATATATACAGTACACGCATTCCTGTTAATTGAAATGCAAGAAAATATATGATATAAACTGAAGTATTTGCAAAAGTGATGGTATTACGGTTCGGTACGGAGTAAGTTACGGTTGATATTTAGTCGAAGAGTACGGTACGGAGTCATCGTACGATATTTCCCTCAGGGTACGGTACAATACAACACAGATATGGAAAATGATCAAAATTCCGTTCTATGTTGCATCTTAGGCTAAAGAATACGATTATATCATATATACATATATAAAGTATGTATTCATTTGTGTGTCTATAATGGTGTATGTGCATATATATATATTTGCATGAGTTGATTATGGCACGACAATGGACGTGTGCTGCAACACAGAAATCTAACTCGAATCTAATCATGCCTGCACATTCCCAAATATCCTCCCTTACACCAAAGTTGACCCGCCCGTGTACTGCAACTGGTGCCCTTCCTCATGACTGGCCCATGCAGACAGATCCAGCATCCATCCTGGCTATGTGTGCAGCATGGAAGGATTCTTCACTCGCGAGTGGAATTCGCAGAGATCGCAGCTTGAAAAACACTGTTTCGTGCTCATCCGTTTTCTCCGTAATTCACTCTTGATTTAGCCACTAGTTCACTGTATCACTTAACCGTTTTTAAAGTGATTTCGAAAACACGATTGTTTCCTTTACATTTCCGAACGTTATTTCTTCGTTAGTATTTGTAAGGGATCATACATACATATGTTTTTCAAGCATTAAAAAAGTAATATGTTGTATCTCTGTGAGGAGTTATTTTGAATTAGAATTGTATGTATCAATATATATTTATTCTATGATATGCAGTTACCAAAATAGTAAAGATGGATATGAGCTCTGTTTACAAATTAGCATTTCAGTGATGAGGTCTCGGTCTGTAAGATGGAGTAGGTCTGTACGAAGGCGTAGGATGGTATGAAGGAGTAGTGTGGTATGAAGGGGTAGGCTGGTATGCAGGTGTAGGATGGTAGGAAGGTTGGTGGGCTTGGTAGTGAGCCTGTCCCTCGTAGGTGACCTCAGCCACGTACCCTGAATCGCCGTCCACGTGGTAGGTGACCTTCTGCAGGCGACCGTCGGGAAGCTGCACGTAGTAGGATCCCTGTGTGTTGTATCCGTCGCGGGACTCCTGGTGGCCGTAGTCGTTGGCGGAGTAGTCGTCCTTCACGACCCAGTCGAAGTTGTACTGAGCTGGAGACTGATATGGAAAGGCAACATAAATTAAAATCAGAAAATCATTGGACGATGACAACTACATTAATAATGATAATTCAAAATATGGTTTTAAAATGTCAAAGAATATTGGTGTTCAAGAGCAAAGTAAAACGATGCTCAAAATATATATAGAATACATCTATGTCAGTTACGTGGTAAGATGGAGGAGGAGAGTATCCGTAAAGATGCTGTGACGGAGCGGCCAGAGAGGCAGTTGCCAGACCCAACACGACGCTCAACTGGAACGACAGAAAAAAAAATCCTGAATAAAGTTTTTCTGTTCTGTGATAAAAAGATGATGTGGCAAACAATCTGTATTGGCAAAACGCTTTGTTTTTGTTTTGTTTTTCTCACCGTAAGAAACATGTTTGCTGACTTTGCTTGATTTGAAAAGCACTCTCATTCCTGTGTCTTATATACTTTGGAAGACGTAGGCGTGGCTTTATTTGACCTTGAGAAGCAACACATATCTACGCCTACTTTTGCCGCTTACTAGATCCTGATCGCATGAATGGAAACGATTGGAGAGAAAGTATTGCGTAGCTCAGTGACGGTTCCATAATATTTAACTGCATTTTTTTCCTTCAGGTGGCATTTTTCAAGCATTTCAAAGCAAAGTGTGGTACTTTTATGATGACTGATTCAGTACACATGATGGCCTAATATAAAATACACATGATGGTCTAATATAAAATACACATGATGGCCTAATATAAAATACACATGATGGCCTAATATAAAATACACATGATGGCCTAATATAAAATACACACAATGGTCTAATATAAAATACACATGATGGTCTAATATAAAATACACATAATGGCCTAATATAAAATACACATGATGATCTAATATAAAATACACATGATGGCCTAATATAAAATACACATGATGGTCTAATAAAAAATATATATATATAAGTATACATAAAAATATAAGTACACGTGATGCCAGGAGTCTTACCCATTTTCCATCACAGATTCCCCCCCCCCAAACACACACACACACACCACTAAAATCCTAGTTACACCCTTGTTACATATCAATGCAAATACAATGCAAGTACACAGAGTTCGTGGTATTTATATCATATTGATATCTGCATTTTCATCCAGGTGTTTCTCGGACGTCAATTCATTAAAAGTTGGAAGCGTCGCATCACATTCATCCTTTCAATTTGACATGTTGCAGATGCACAGGTATGGAAAATGAGCAAAATTCCGTTCTGCGCCGTATTTTAGGCCAACGAATACGACCATAAAATTATTGGACCTTTGCGGCTGTAGTGAGTGCATTAGTAGATAATTATTTATTTAGTATTATATTGTATCATATATGTATATAAAATCTGTAGGAGTGCATTAGTAGATAATTATTTATTTAGTATCATATTGTATCATATATGTATATAAAATCTGTATTCATTTGTGTATTTATGGTGGATGTGCATATATATATGTATATATTTATATTCATATATATGTATGCATGTACACAGTATATGTACACACACAGACACACATTCACACTTTTCTCTCTATATATATGTGTCTTTGCAGTATATGCTATGGATATAACATATAAATATGTAAAAGGCTTATATACATATTTATACACTAACACAGAATATATATGAATAACACACATATATGTATCTATATATATATTGTGAGAGGAGCTGATTATCGCACGACAAATTCCGTGTGCTGCAACTCTGAAAATCGGACTCCACGCCTGCATATTCCTAAGTATCTTCCCTTGTTCCAATGTTGTTCCGCCCGCATAATAAAACGGTGCCCTTTTCCGTGACCAGCTCTCGGAGGCAAATGAACGCATACCCCGTGGCGACATGGAAGGATCCCGCACTCGCGAGCGGAAATCGCAGCATGAAAAGTACCGTTTTCACCGTTTTCTTCTTAATTCACTCTTGATTTGGTCATAAGTTCACTGTATCCCGTAACCGTTCTCTGACGGTGATTTTTGTGGACGTGATTTTTTTTCCCCTTTTTCTTAAAGGATCATACATGCACACACACGCACATATATTTTTTCCCAAGCTTTTTGTTGTTTTCTAAAACAATATACTCTATGTGAAGAATTATTTTGAATTAAAATTGAATGTATCAATATCTTTTTATTCTATGATAGGCAGTTACTAAAAATAGTAAATATAAACATGCTTCATTTAAATATGCTTTACAAATCAGCTTCTCAGTGATGAGGTCTTGGCCTGTAAGATGGAGTAGGTCTGTAGGCAGGTGTAGGATGGTATGAAGGTTGGTGGGCTTGGTAGTGAGCCTGTCCCTCGTAGCTGACCTCAGCCACGTAGCCTGAGTCGCCGTCCACGTGGTAGGTGACCTTCTGCAGACGACCATCGGGAAGCTGCACGTAGTAGGATCCCTGTGTGTTGTATCCGTCGCGGGACTCCTGGTGGCCGTAGTCGTTGGCGGAGTAGTCGTCCTTCACGACCCAGTCGAAGTTGTAGTGTGCTGGAGTCTGATATGGAAGGGCAATGTACACTAAGGTCATCGAAATATCATTGGGTGAAGATAATTGCATTAATAGTAATAATAAAAATGGTCTCAAAATCACAAAGAAAATTGATTTTCAAGAGCAAAGAAGATGATGCTCAAAAATATATATAGAATATCTCTATGACTTCTACCTGATAAGAGGGAGGTGGAGAGTATCCGTAGGGAGGCTGTGACGGAGCGGCCAGAGAGGCAGCTGCCAGACCCAACACGACGCTCAACTGGAACGACAGAAAAAAAAGTAAGTCATAGTTTACAAAATCTTTTTTTGTGATGAGGATTTGTAATACCAAAATCTCTTTGTTTTTCTTTCTCACCACGAAAAACATGTTCGTGAATTTTGCTTGATATGAAAAGCACTCTCCTTCGTGTGTCTTATATACTTCGAGAAACGTAGGCGTGGCTTCATTTGACCTTGAGCAACATATAGCCACGCCCACTTCTGCCGCTTACTAGATCCTGATCGTATGAATGGAAACGATTGGAGAGAAATATTGCGTAGCTCAGGGACGGTTTCAGGATATTTAACAGTATTTTTTCGCAATCGAGTAGCACTTTTCAAGCATGTTAAAGCAAAGTGTGGTACTTTTAGGATTAATTCAGTTCACAGGACAGTTGAAATACCCAGGAGCCTTACCCTTTCTCCACCACAGATGCCTCCCACCCCCATTCAAATCCATTACGTCCCGATTACATGTCAATGCGAATTTGATAAAGTGCACTGAGGGATTTTTACACCATATTAATATTTACATTTCCACGTCGGGTATTTCTCGGGAGTCATGTCTCAAAAAAATTCTCAGGCCAAAGAATACGACCATACAATAGTTATCTTCGGCTATACTGAATGCATCAGCAGATAATTATCAATTTAGTAATATACTGTATCGCATATAAACAAAATGTATGTATTGATGTGTATCTATGATGGTGTATGTATATATATATACATAAACCATATACATAGGCATGTATACAATATATATACGAATATTACACACGCCGACACACGCACACACTTTTCTATATATATGTGCATGTTTACAGTATACAATATATTGTATGAATATCATATAGGAATATATAAAAACCTATACACGTATCTATACCCTCACACAGAATATATTATATTACACACACATACATAGAGAGAAAGAGCTGAGTATAGCACGACAAAGGACTCCACGCCTGCATATTCCCAAGTAACCTCCCTTGCGCCAATATTACCCCCCCCCCCCTTGCAGATCCAGCATCCCCTGATATCAGATGAACTCAGCGAAGATGAACACATTCTTCGTGTCCACGTGTGCGACATGGAAGGATCTCTCAATCGCGAGCGGAAGTCGCGGCGATCGCAGCAGGAAAAGCAATGTTTCTGTGCTCATTTATTTATTTATTTTTTCTTCTTCTTTCTTTTTTTTTTTTTTTTAATTCACTCTTGATTTAGCTACTGTATCCCTTAGCCGTTATTTGACAGTGATTTCGTAAACATGATTTCTTTCTTTTGCATTTCTGAATGTCATTTCCTCGATAGTCTTTGTAAGGGATCATACATATATAAACACATCTCTTTTCAAACATTTTTTAAATAATATACTGTATGTGAAGAGTTGTTCTGAATGAAAATTGTAAGTAGCAATATATGTTTATTCTATGATATATAGTTACAAAAATAGTAAATATGGATATGTTTTATGTATGTTTTACAAATTAGCTTTTCAGTGATGAGGTCTTGGCCTGTAAGATGGAGTAGGTCTGTACGAAGGCGTAGGATGGTATGAAGGGGTGGTGTGGTATGAAGGGGCAGGCTGGTATGCAGGTGTAGGATGGTAGGAAGGTTGGTGGGCTTGGTAGTGAGCATGTCCCTCGTAGCTGACCTCAGCCACGTACCCTGAGTCGCCGTCCACGTGGTAGGTGACCTTCTGCAGGCGACCGTCGGGAAGCTGCACGTAGTAGGATCCCTGTGTGTTGTATCCGTCGCGGGACTCCTGGTGGCCGTAGTCGTTGGCGGAGTAGTCGTCCTTCACGACCCAGTCGAAGTTGTACTGAGCTGGAGTCTAATGTGGAAGGGCAATGTACACTAAAGTCATCAGAATATCATTGGGTGAAAATAATTGCATGAATGATAATAAAAAAAAGTTTCAAAATCATAAAGAAAATTGATTTTCAAGAGCAATGAAGATGATGCTCAAAAATATATAGAATATTATCTATGGTAGCTACCTGATAAGAGGGAGGAGGAGAGTATCCGTAGGGAGGCTGTGACGGAGCGGCCAGAGAGGCAGCTGCCAGACCCAACACGACGCTCAACTGAAACGACAGAAAAAGTAAGTTATAGTTTACAAAATCTTTTTGTAATGAAGATTTGTAATATCATATTCTCTTTGTTTTTCTTTCTCACCACGAAAAACATGTTCGTTGATTTTGCTTGATATGAAAAGCACTCTCCTTCGTGTGTCTTATATACTTCGAGAAACGTAGGCGTGGTTTCTTTTGACCTTGAGGATCACATAGCCACGCCCACTTTTGCTGCTTACTAGATCCTGATCGCATGAATGGAAACGATTGGAGAGAAAGTATTGCGTAGCTCAGGGACGGTTCCAGGATAATTAACAGTATTTTTTCGCATTCGAGTGGGACTTTTCAAGCATTTTCAAGCAAAGTGTGGTACTTTTGTGATTAATTCAGTTCACAGGAAAGCTGAAATATCCAGGATCCTTACCCATTCTCCACCACAGATGCCTCCCACCCCTATTCAAATACGTCCCTATTGCGTGTCAGTGTGAATTTGATAAAGTGCACTGAGAGGTGTTTACATCATATTAATATTTACATTTCCACTCGGGTATTTCTCGGGAGCCATGTCTCTAAAATTCTCAGGCCAAAGAATACAACCACGCAATAATTGGTTCTTTTTGGCTATACTGAATGCATCAGCAGATAATTAATTATTGATTTAGTACTATACTGTATCATATATATACAAAAAGTATGTACTGATATGTATCTATGATGGTGTATGTATATATATACATAGACCATATACATAGGCATGTGTACAATATATATACGAATATTACACACGCCGACACATGCACACACTTTTCTATATATATGTGCATGTTTACAGTATACAATATATTGTATGAATATAACATATGAATATATAAAAACCTATACACGTATCTGTACCCTCACACAGAATATATTACATTACACACATAGAGAGAGAAAGAGCTGATTATAGCACGACAAAGGACATGTGCTGCAGCTCTGAAATCTGACTCCTCCTTGCATAGTACCCCCCCCCCCCCCTCATGCAGATCCAGCATCCCCTGATATCAGATGAACTCAGCGAAGGAGATGAACGCATTCTCCGTGTCCACGTGTGCGACATGGAAGGATTCCCCAATCGCGAGCGGAAGTCGCGGCGATCGCAGCATGAAAAGCAATGTTTCTGTGCTCATTTATTCTGTTTTTTTTTCACTCTTGATTAAGCTACTGTATCCTTTAACCGTTCTTTGACAGTGATTTCGTAAACATGATTTCTTTCTTTTGCATTTCTGAATGTCATTTCCTCGATAGTCTTTGTAAGGGATCATACATATATAAACGCATCTCTTTTCAAACATTTTTTAAATAATATACTGTATGTGAAGAGTTGTTCTGAATGAAAATTGTAAGTAGCAATATATGTTTATTCCATGATGTCTAGTTACAAAAATGGTAAATATGGATATGTTTTATGTATGTTTTACAAATTAGCTTTTCAGTGATGAGGTCTTGGCCTGTAAGATGGAGTAGGTCTGTACGAAGGTGTAGGATGGTAGGAAGGAGTGGTGTGGTATGAAGGGGCAGGCTGGTATGCAGGTGTAGGATGGTAGGAAGGTTGGTGGGCTTGGTAGTGAGCATGTCCCTCGTAGGTGACCTCAGCCACGTAGCCTGAGTCGCCGTCCACGTGGTAGGTGACCTTCTGCAGGCGACCGTCGGGAAGCTGCACGTAGTAGGATCCCTGTGTGTTGTATCCGTCGCGGGACTCCTGGTGGCCGTAGTCGTTGGCGAAGTAGTCGTCCTTCACGACCCAGTCGAAGTTGTACTGTGCTGGAGTCTGATATGGAAGGGCAATGTACACTAAGGTCATCGAAATATCATTGGGTGAAGATAATTGCATTAATAGTAATAATAAAAATGGTCTCAAAATCACAAAGAAAATTGATTTTCAAGAGCAAAGAAGATGATGCTCAAAAATATATATAGAATATCTCTATGACATCTACCTGATAAGAGGGAGGTGGAGAGTATCCGTAGGGAGGCTGTGACGGAGCGGCCAGAGAGGCAGCTGCCAGACCCAACACGACGCTCAACTGGAACGACAGAAAAAAAAAGTAAGTCATAGTTTACAAAATCTTTTTTTGTGATGAGGATTTGTAATACCAAAATCTCTTTGTTTTTCTTTCTCACCACGAAAAACATGTTCGTGAATTTTGCTTGATATGAAAAGAACTCTCCTTCGTGTGTCTTATATACTTCGAGAAACGTAGGCGTGGCTTCATTTGACCTTGAGCAACATATAGCCACGCCCACTTCTGCCGCTTACTAGATCCTGATCGTATGAATGGAAATGATTGGAGAGAAATATTGCGTAGCTCAGGGACGGTTTCAGGATATTTAACAGTATTTTTTCGCAATCGAGTAGCACTTTCCAAGCATGTTAAAGCAAAGTGTGGTACTTTTAGGATTAATTCAGTTCACAGGACAGTTGAAATACCCAGGAGCCTTACCCTTTCTCCACCACAGATGCCTCCCACCCCCATTCAAATCCATTACGTCCCGATTACATGTCAATGCGAATTTGATAAAGTGCACTGAGGGATTTTTACACCATATTAATATTTACATTTCCACGTCGGGTATTTCTCGGGAGTCAGGTCTCAAAAAAATTCTCAGGCCAAAGAATACGACCATACAATAGTTATCTTCGGCTATACTGAATGCATCAGCAGATAATTATCAATTTAGTAATATACTGTATCGCATATAAACAAAATGTATGTATTGATGTGTATCTATGATGGTGTATGTATATATATATACATAAACCATATACATAGGCATGTATACAATATATATACGAATATTACACACGCCGACACACGCACACACTTTTCTATATATATGTGCATGTTTACAGTATACAATATATTGTATGAATATCATATAGGAATATATAAAAACCTATACACGTATCTATACCCTCACACAGAATATATTATATTACACACACATACATAGAGAGAAAGAGCTGAGTATAGCACGACAAAGGACTCCACGCCTGCATATTCCCA